AAAAGAGAAGAGATAGGCCACTGTGTGTGTTTGTGGTAGTGGTGATGGTGTGTGTGGCGGGGAGGGGGGAGTGTTTCACTAAGCCTAAGAGAAATATTCCACCATCCACCTGGCCCAGTTATATTCTGCCCCAAGTTACTTAGGGTAGATATCTAGGCTACTGGACCATGAACTGCCTAGAGTGGGAGGAAAATGAGACACTGAGATTCAGCATTCAGGAAAATTATCATCGGAGGGAAGGGAGTTAGAAAGTGAGCAAAAAAAAAAAAAAAAAAAAGGAAAAAAGCCTGAAATTGATAAAGATATCAGGAAGAAGAAAGCTCGAATATCTTGAACATAAGCAGATAAATCATAGGAAAAGCATTAACAACAGAGGGAAATATGGTCCTCAGATGTAGCAAATATGTTCACATATCTGTGAATAAGGAATGCAAAACGAAGAAAAATAGTATAACACTTGAGACAAAGGACCCTGTGGAAATTGAAGAGAACATAGAACTACAACACATAGTTTATGAGAAGTTTAGAAGAGAAATGAGAATTATTAGAGCAGAATTTATTTCCTTCATAGGAAACATAAGGGTAAGAAGAGGAAAACTTCAATCTGTGATGGAAAGTTTCACCAAAGAAACAGAAGAGAGAATAGGATATTGGGAATGTGAATACACAGAAGCACAGGAAAATCTAGAAAAAGAGAAGCAAAACCAATAACATTAAAAGAAAATATGCTTTCTGTGTAATAAAAATATACTGATCTCAAAGACACAAATAACCTAAGGATTATAGATCTCCCAGAAGAACAAATGTAAAAAAAAAACTGAAGACTATAGAAATAATATATTCAAACTTGCTAAAAATTCTAAACACAGAAAATAGTATACATGTTGGAAGAATTGATAGATTGCCTCCAGAACAAAAAAAATTGCAAACCCTACAAGACACATAGTGGTAGACTGCATAATCAGGAATGTATGCATCTATACACCTACCCTACCATGGGTCAGCATCGTCTCTGTCACATTCAAGAATTAGCATTGTTGGCATTTCTATATATCACTAACAAAGCCCAACAGCAAGCAATAGAAAGAGAAATTCCATTTAAAGTGACTTTAGACATTATAAAATATTTGGGAGTCTACCTGCCAAAACAAACCCAAGAACTATATGAACACAATTAGAAAACACTTTTCACACAAATAAAGTCAGATCTAAATAATTGGAAAAACATCAGTTGCTCATGGGTAGGTCAAGCTAATATAACAAAAATGAAATTTCTACTTAAATTAGTTTACTTATTCAATGTCATACCAAGCAAACTACCAAAAATTATTTTATAAAGCTAGAAAAAATAACAAAAGTCATCTGGAAGAACAAAAGGTCCAGAATGTCAAGGGAATTAATGAAAAGAAATGTAGGGTAATTAATAAATAAAGGATATGAACAAGTAGCTCAAAAGAATTGTGAACACTTAACACCCATATGAAAGATTGTTAAAAATAATTAATACTAAGAAAAATTAAAATCAAAACAGCTCTAATGTTTTATCTCACATCCATCCAATTGGCAAAATAAAATGACAAAAAGTGATGACAGTCAACACTGGAGGGGCAGTGGAAAGTTTGTGTAGTATATTTTCAAGTCTTTTTGTCCCCCTAATCATTGTCTTTGAATGCCTACAGTTTAGCAATATTCTTCTTAACAGGTCACATTTAATACAGAATATAATATTCCAAATGGGGTCTTATCATGATAAGGCATTATAAGTCAGTGTTGTGCTAGAACTAGCTTTGACTGGATTGCAAGAGCCAGTTGTTAAAATTTCAGTTTGAGCATTTATACCAAGACAGAAAAGAGGGTTTGTGGTCACTCATAGACCAGAGCACAGGCCAGGAAAGGAATAAACACCTCACACCTTATCATACCACCTTGGAAGAACTGAAAATTTACAGGTCCATAGAAGTATCTCTGAAAACAGCTCTATAAACCCCCGAAGCTTGGGACAGTACATTCTCCACATTGGAAGCAGACTTCTACCTTAATAAAGAGTTTATAACTCAAGTAATTGGCTGGGATCATGAGCAAAACTCACAAGAAGTGTCAGACCATACAATCTTTTTTTGGTAACAAAGAAGATCAAAACATACAACCAGAAGAAGACAACAAAGTCAAAGCTCCTACATCCAAAGCCTCCAAGAAAAATATGAATCAGTCCCAGGCCTTGGAAGAGCTCAAAAAGGATTTTGAGAAGCAAGTAAGAGAGGTAGAGGAAAAACTGGGAAGAGAAATGAGAGTGATGCAAGAAAATCATGAAAAACAAGTCAACAGCTTGCTAAAGGAGACCCAAAAAATACTGACTAAAATAACACCTTAAAAAATAGCCTAACCCAAATGGCAAAAGAGGTCCAAAAAGCCAATGAGGAGAAAAATGCCCTAGAAAGCAAAATTTGAGAAATGGAAAAGGAAGTCCAAAAGCTCAGAAATTGAAAGAATCCACAGATCTCCTCCTGAAAGAGATCCCCAAAGGAAAACTCCTAGGAATATTGTAGCCAAATTCCAGAGTTCCCAGGTCAAGGAGAAAATATTACAAGCAGCCAGAAAGAAACAATTCAAGTATTGTGGAAACACCATGAGAATAACACAAGATTTAGCAGCTTCTACATTAAGGGACCACAGGGCATGGAATATAATATTCCAGAGGGCAAAGGAGATAGGATTACAACCAAGAATCACCGACCCAGCAAAACTGAGTATAATCCTGCAGGGGAAAAAATGGTCATTTAGTGAAATAGAAGACTTTCAAGCATTCTTAATGAAAAGACCAGAGCTGAATAGAAAATTTGACTTTCAAATACAAGACTCAAGTGGGACATGAAGAGGTAAACAGGAAAGAGAAATCATAAGAGACTTATTAAGGTTGAACTGTTTACATTCCTGCATGGAAAGATGATATTTATAACTCATGAGACCATCATCAGTATTAGGGTAGTTAGAGGGAAAAAATTATATAGATATAGATATAGATATAGATATAGATATAGATATGGATACAGATAGATAGGTAGGTAGATAGATAGAGGGCACAGGGTGAGTTGAAGATGAAGGGGTCATATCTGAAGAATAAAATTAAGGGGTGAAAGAGGATTATACTAGGAGGAGAAAGAGAGAGGTAGAATGGGGTAATTTATCTCACACAAAAAAAGCAGAAAATAAAATACTCTTACAGTGGAGGGGAAACAGGAGAAGGTGAGAGGGAATGAGTGAATCTTTTTCTCATAGGATTTGGTTTAAGGAGGGAATAACATACACACTCAATTGGGTATGGAAATACGTCTTACCCTACAGGAAAATAGGGGAATGATAGATAGCAGGGCAGATTGGGAAAGGGGGTAATCAGAAGCAAACACTTCTGAGGAGGGACAGGGTCAAAAGAAAGAATAGAATAAATGGTGGTGGCTGGGATAGGATTAAGGGAAATAGAGTTAGTTTTTCACAACATGACTCCTTTGGAAGTGTTTTGCATAGCTGCACATGTATAACCTATATTGAGTTGCTTGCCTTTTCAATGACGGTGGGTGGGGAGGGAGGGAAGGAGGGAGAAGATTTGGAACTCAAAGTTTTAAAAACACATGCTTAAAAACATGTTTTTACATGCAACTGGGAAATAAGAAATACAGTAAATGGGGTACAGAAATCTATCCTGCCCTGCAGGAAAGTAGAAGGGGAAGGGGATAAGAGAAGGGGGGGAGAGATAGAAGGGAGGGCAGACTAGGGGAAGGGATATTCAGAATGCATGCCATCTTGGGGTGGGAGGAGGGGCGAGATGGGGTGAAAATTTGGAACTCAGAATCTTGTGAAAGTAAATGTTGAAAACTAAGAATAAATAAATTTAAAATTAAAAAGTGATCTAACAGTCAACACTGGAGGGTCAGTGGAAAGTTTATGTAGCATATTTTCAAGTCTTTTTGTCCCCCTAATCATTGTCTTTGAATGCCTACAGTTTAGCAATATTCTTCTTAAAGTGTCACATTTAATACAGAATATAATATTCCAAATGTGGTCTTATCATGATAAAGCATTATAACTCAGTGTTGTGCTAGGACCAGCTTTGACTGGATGCAAGAGCCAATTGTTAAAATTTCAGTGTGAGCATTTATACCTCAAAACCAGGGTTTACTTTTTTTTTTTGTTGATTATCTAGACTTAATAAAAGGAAAAAGAAGATGTTAATAATTCAGATTAAAACTTAAAACTTTTTTGGGCATACTTTTTTTTTTCTGGAGAGCCTGAGTGTTAAGCATTTACTAGCATACCCCTGTTGCAACCTTACTTGTTTAAAGCACTATACTTCTATTAATGATAGTCTAAGATAAGAACAATGAGTCATTATGGCATATTGGTTACCTAGCTGGACTCATGGTCAGGAATATCTGTGTTTAACTTCCATGTAGCTTTGTGGTCCTGGGCAAGTTACTTTCCCTATCCCTACCCCTCCCACTGCCTCAGAATGTCAAGTTGATGGGATCATATACTTTAAAGTAGTTGCTGAACTTCACTGGTAAAAAGAATAACCTTAATGGTGTTCTCTATACCAGTAAAATCATGGATTCAGGCTTAGGGAAGATGAGATTAACTTTTTATTTATCTAAAAAAATGTATAGTCATTTATAAGAATAAGTGCCATACCCCAATTAATAAAATGGTCAAAAAAGTACAGATTTTTTTCAACAACTATGATAATTCCACGTTGATAAGTCTCTTTCCTGAATCATTCATATTACCATCCAAATATCCAAAGTGATAACTATATCACAACACACTTTTCCCCAAACCTGGAATATATTACAAATACACAATATATAAACATTCTATATATAATTAAGGAACAATAGAAGCATGCATTCCCTACTATCTGTCATAAGGGAAAGGACATTTCCTCTTGGGGAGAATACAACAAGCTTTGGAGGAAAGACATGAAGTTAAATACAATTATGGTGAGAGAATCATGGCCTGAGGGGTTTTACTCCATTGGTTGTATTCCTGAATGCTCTCTTCACATCCTTGTTCCTCAGGCTGTAGATAAGAGGGTTAAGCATAGGGTTTATCACAGCATAGAACACAGACACCAGCTTTCCCTGTTCTTTGGAAGACTTGGGGGTCATGTAGCTGATAATTGCTGACCCATAAAAAAGGATGACCACAAGAAGATGGGTACCACAGGTAGAAAATACCTTGAGTCTCCCTGAGGTTGTCTTCATTCTAACCACAGCCACTATTATAGAGCCATAAGAGATTAGGATCAAGGACAAAGGTGCAAGAAGAATTACCACTCCCATGAGGAAAATGGCTGTCTCTGCTTTATGAATATCTGCAGATGCCAAAACCAGAAGGGCAGGTGCCTCACAAAAGAAATGAGCAATCTTATTGTCTCCTTGATAGGGCAGTTGTAATGTGAATGTTGTGTCCACTAAAGACACCAGAATGCCACTGACCCAGCATGCCAAAGCCAAATGGCTACACATTTTCCATGTCATGATGAGAGGGTAGTGCATGGGGTCACAGATTGCCAAGTACCGGTCATAGGACATCACAGATAACAGTGCACACTGTGTACATCCAAAGATGAGAAAAAGAAGAAGCTGAGCTGTACAGCCCATAAAGGAAATGACCTTCCTCTTAGATAGCATATGGACTAGGGCTTGTGGGACAATATTGGTGGAAAAAAATAGATCAGCAAGAGACAAGTTGCACAGAAAAAAGTACATGGGTGTATGGAGCTGTGAGTCAATCAGAACTAGAGAGATAAGGAGCAGGTTTCCAAGCACAGTAACCAAGTAAACCCCCATGAATAATACAAAGAGTAATAGCTGAGTCTGAGGGTCATCAGAAAGTCCCAGGAGGAGAAATTCTGTCACCCAGATTTTGTTGGTCTGGTTCATGTTCTGTCTTTGTACTTCTTTAGAAAACAGCCAACAGATATTCAATGTGGGGATGCAGCTACAGAATGACAGAATCTTAGTGTTAGAAGGGACCATAGAAGTTATCCAGTTCAACCTTCTACCATCATCAGCTTCCCTGGTAGCTATTCACTGAACAATTCCATTCACAAGTTGTGCACTGTCTCAAGATGAAGACATTCCTTTGTTGGGTAGCTCTTCTAATAAGTCGTCCATTCTATTGAGCTGAATTCTCCCAAGTTTTCCTTCTACATATACTTGCTTTGTTACTGTTCCATTCAAATATATGGTTACACTCAGAGCACAATATTCTATATGAGGTCTGAACCCCAAAGAGTTCAGTGAAGCTATTGGCTCCTTTGATTATGAATAAAAATTTGTTATTCAGTCATCTCAGTCATGTTTAACTCTTTATGACTCCATATGGGGTTTTCTTAGCAAAGATACTAGAATGGTTTGTCATTTCCTTCTCCAGGATGAATAAAATTGCATTTATTTTAATGCAACCTGAGATTATATTATCTTTTTGCCAGCCACAAAATATAATTTATATTGAGTTTATACTTAGTTTAAACCTTAAAGTTTTCTTCACATTTGCTGCCGTTAACTTAAGTCTGTCCCATAATGTAATTGTGTGGATAATTCCCCTCCCCATCCCCATTAAATTTTAGGACTTCAGATTTAGTCTTTCTAAATTTTCATCTAGCTTCATCTTGTTGGATTTTCCCTGGAAGTATATTGAGGTACATATAGGAAAATTCTGTGAATCAAAGTATTGTTAGTATGTTGGTACTTATTGAAAGACAAGAGCAGGATTGAAGGAATAAATATGTAGGGAAGCATAGAACTGCCTAATAATGTATGCCTATGTCATTGGATAATTTTCTGGTTAGAGGTTATTTCACTGAAAGAGTTAAAATGCAAACAGTTTCAGTTTCTCCTAGGGAAACCATGGAGATGGACACTATAAGTAATGGTGAGATGCTCTCAAAGAACTGCAAGCTCTGATGAAGCAGTGATCTCTGGGATGGGAGAGAGAGAGAGAGTGAAAGAGACAGATAGATAGACAGATGGACAGACAGACTCAGACATAAAGACAGAGAGAGAGACAGAGAGAGAAAGAAAGAGAGAAACAGAGAGAAAAAGACAGACAGAGACAGAGAGAAACAGACACAGACATAGAGAGACAAAGAGATAGAAACAGAGAGATAGAGAAAGACAGAAACAGAGACTTGTATTTCTAAAAGCACCCAAGGACCAAACACATTGGGGTATTGGTAATTCCACCTTTTGAGAAATTAAAAAGGTGTCAAGTTGTGGAATACCTTTCTATTTTGATGTTTGTGACACTTTCTAGGTGGATTTTCTTTATAAACAATAGAATCCTAATTTGTAGAAGTCGGGGAGAGGCTTTTTGAAATTACTGATGTGTAGCCCATTGGGAAGACCACCAGTCATATTAAGGACCCTGAAGTACTACATTAGATAGTTGCCTGGGAAAGAAAGTTTCATTGAATATACTCCCACTATGTAATGTTCAATTCTTTGTTAAATTATTATTGTTGTTGTCCCTTTCGCTCTTTGTCATCTTTGCTATGTAACCTTGCTATCTCTTTTGACATTAGCATGCTTCCAATACTTCTGTCTCCTCTGACCTTTTATAGAGTTCCTGAATTGTCATGTGGTCTTGTAGAGATATCTTTTCTCACAATTATTTTCTTTTTTTTTTCTTTCTTTTTTTTTCTGCTAGACAATGGAATTAAGTGACTTGCCCAAGGTCACACAGCTAGTAAGTGTTATACATCCGAGGCCGAATTTGAACTTGGGTCCTCCTGAATCCAGGGCCTGTGCTCTATCCACTTAGCCACCTAGCTGCCCCTACAATTATTTTCAAGACATCCTTTCTGATCCTAAGCTTGTGCTTTTTTTCATTTTGTAGTAGACCAGCTGTTAGTACAACAGCGACGGCAGTATAACTGAATCCATTGAGTACCAAGTGCTCCAGGGTGAGTGGAAAAATATTAACTTTGTTTGTCCAATTTAAGTTAGCGTTTAACATCCCTCCAGGTATCTTTTAAACAGCCCTGGAGGCGATTAGCTGAATTGAGTCATTCTTCTGACAAAAGTAGGGAAACTATCAGCGGCTAAATGGTGAGTTTATATGATTTCTGCAAAAAGTACCTTATGACATATTGAGTACTATACATGGAGTCAGAGTGTGGGAGTTAAAAATCTGTCTCTGTTACTTATTATCAGTATGATCATGGGTCATCATATAACATCATCAAATTTCAGTTTTCTTAATGGAGGGGGCTGCTCTTGAAGATTTTCTAACATGACATCATACATTTAAATACATGATCTTATGATCCTGTATTGGGTATTTAACTAAGACTAACTATTTTAATGAACATTCATGCTTTTCTTGGGTTCCTCTGTGTAGTAATCTTCATCACATCCCTTAAATTTTGTGACAGTCTGGATGAGGGGAGTAAATCACATATCTTGGCCACAGATAGACTTATTGGTACCCTTGCCCAGTTGATAAGGAATGAATGAATATTTGTTGGTAATAACAGATAATATATTTCTTGTTTCTCCTTCATTTTTATAACAATGACTGGTTTCTATAACCTTATGTATGAACTGTATACATAGATGCAGATATACATATATGTATGCTGGCATAATACTTGTAAAATCACTCAACCTCTTAGTGCCAAAAGTGCTACAAAATTATAGAAGATCAGAAAAGTTTTTGATATGCCATGGCGGATTGAGTTTCCTCAATAAGAATTCCCTGTACCAATGAAACCACAGAATCACAGAACTGGATATATACAGATATATATTTGTGTGTGTGTGTGTGTGTATGTGTGTGTGTGTGTGTATTGTACATTATAAATCTGTCTACACACATATATACACAGCATAGATCTGAAGATACATGATTTCATTGAAATAGGGGATTCCCAGTTAGTAAACTCCACCTACCAAGGCAGATCAAAAATTTCACTGAAACTTATAGTCTTAGAACATTTCTGTGGCTCTAAGATTTTGAGTGATTTGTCAGATGTCACATGGCCAATATACGTTAGATATGGGATTAAAACCCAACTCTTTCTGACTTCAAGGCCAGTTATTTATTCATTTAACAACATTTTCTCTCATCCATATGAATCTATACATCTACATTTCTATAAATGTAATCTATATGTAGATATATCTATATAAAATAAGAACAGGTATTTATATTAATTTCTGTGAATTTATAGTTCCCTGGCTCTATGTACCCTTACATATATAGATGTTAATCACTATACCATGTATCCAAATGTGTATGTGCACATGCATGAGGGGAATTGAATGGAAGAGAAAAGGGGAAGAGAGACAGAGAGATACACAAAGAGAAAATGTAACAGAAACTAATTACAGGATAAGCTGTGAATATACATAAGAAAACATGGGGAAAAACTATTGCTACACAATATAACAGAGAAGAAATAAGAAACATGTGTTTGTTATTCCAAATATTTAGTAATTCTCTTCTTAACTAAAACAAGGGTACCAATAAGTATATTAAGAGCCTAGGTATGAGGCTTGCCCTATCACCTAGATAGTCTCCATAATTTATACTCTCAGGATTACTGTACAGGGTCTCCACAGGAAAAGTATAAGCATTCATTGAAACATGAAACATGAAAAATGAAAAATAATCTTAGCTAAATACCCAATACAGTACCATATGTTTAGATCTAAAAGTGATGTCTGAAATCATCAAGTCCAGTCATCTCCATTTACAGATGAGGAAACTGAGGTCTAAAGATATAAAATGAACTTAGGTTATGGGGGCAAAAAACAACAGAAGCAAGACCAAAACCATATCAACTTAGGATCATGAGAAGATGGCAGTGCGTTAGGGCCCGTAAAAGCTAAGATCCTCCACAAATACCCCAATTACAGCTCTAAAAATCAACCAGAAGAAACAGTTGATGATGAAAACCAAAGAGAATCATTAATAAACCTTATCCAGTTTTGAATGATACAAAAAGACTGCCAGAAATCTGCAGAGTGTAAACACAAGCTAAGATGAGGAAGATGAGATGTGAAACATCCTAATCCCACAGCAGGAGACAGGTCAAGAAGAAAGTCTGAGATAGGATGAACCAAAAGACCCTTCTTTGGCAAGAGACAGGGTCATAGCAATACCCAGAGCTATCATGGGAAGATCCAGGGTACTTATCTCCATTTGGAGACAGGTCTAAACTGACATCCCATGTAGGAGCCCAAAGGCCTCATCCATGGTAAGAGACAAGACAGGACCAGCATCCAGATGGCTCATTTTCAATCAAGTATCCACACAATCAGGAATTGAACCATGGTAAGTGACAAAACCAGACAATTTCTTTAGAAAGCAAGGCCTAAATTTAGCCACCTGACCTAGCATCAAGCAGGGACCATTTACATCATTTAAGAGCACAGAAGCAAATTTTGATTTAAGCGCAAACCTGCAGTTCAGAAAATGAGGCTGGAGATGTAAGTAGAAAAAAAAATCAAATACAACAAATACCTTGGAATGAGAATAGTCCAAAGGGTGAATCAAGAAGGGAAAAAAAGTAATATCACAACAAGTCCTGGTACAACCTTAGAGAAAAGACTGGCCTGGTCAAGAACTAGAAAATCTAGAAGAAATGATACAAAAAGATACAAAAGAAATGATACAAAAAGATACAAAAAGATACAAAAGACACAAAATAGAAGAGCTATGGGGGAAAAAATAGAGAAGAATTAATTCCTTAGTACAGATGGTAGTAAATCTTAACTAAGAATTTAACTTTCTGAAAGTTCAAATAAGTCAAACAGAAAATAATTGCTCTATAAGAAAATAAGAAATATTAAAGTAAAATAAAAAGATTAAATAAATAAAAAAGATACATAAGGTTTATATCATTTTAAGAAAACTGATCTAGAAAACAGGTCAA